CTTTCCCCCACCTCCATCACACATCAGAACAGTCAAGTAGCATAATTTAATAGCTGACAGGTTGGTCCGTTTCTTTCTTTACGTTGCAGAAAGGTTTTTGAATGTTCCAGCACAACTATGTAGGCTTACTAACATTATGTGTCGCGACGTGGTGGAATCAGGCGCTCGTCAATTTTTTGGCATATGGTGTTATTGGTATCATCTTAAAGCATGTGTATCTGTCTTGCTTGTCATGAAAAAATATCCTTCTACGTTGAATGGAAGCCGAGACATTTGAGGTTTGAAGGAGGTCAGGGTCGCTTCATATCAGAGGTAAAATTTGCCTGAAAAATGGCCGCCAAAGTTTGGTAACTTCTATAGCTTAAGAGTCCTTGGAAACTGAAAATTGACATTAAATTTGTATGCCTTAAATCCATGTTTTTCAGTAAAATCCACATAGAAATGTGTTTTTAATTGGATATACAAGATGTTGAGCCGAAACATAAAAAAAGGAAATTAGAAAAAAAATTGCCCGACGGTCAGAACATTGCTAATTTCTCTAGTTTCATTATTTTGACGAGCGCCTGATTTCACCACGATGCCTCACATATTTATGGTGCTCTTTAGTGCGCGCGGCTGTCTTTTCCGTACAATAATAATTATTGTCTATCAAGCAAGGTGGTGATTCCAATGACAGCTCGGAGGGCTTTCTATCCCTTCAACATTTACTTACAGGATGGTAAATACTCGCTGGGTGGCTGTTTTCAAGCTGGAGGAAAGTGGTGCATTATGGCCGCTCGTTTTGTCCGTCTGTCTGTTCGTCCCGGTGGCATTTGGCCGGACTCCATTAAAGGATTATAGTTGTTGTGGGTTTTTTGGCTTTCTTTTTGGTTTTGTTTTGGTTTTTTTGGTTTTTTGTTTTTTGTGTGTGGTCCATTCGTCGTCTGGTTTTCTAATCGTTTTTGTGTTTTGTATTTTTCTTTGGGGGGAGGGTGGTGGCATTGGGAGAACATAGGATTGGGTGGGATAATGTTGGGGTGGGAGTATGGACGTAAGGAGTGGTGTGGATGTGGGTGAGGAGTTGGATTTTTCTTTGGGGGAGGGGGGGGGGGCGTATAATTACTTTTGATACCTTTTGCACATATCGGTTTTGACGGTCACAAGGAAAGGATGGAAATACTTGTTAAAATGTCTCTCCCATCTGACAAACAAATTACGTCCCTTGCTTGTTTGTTGGTTGGTTTTTATACGTGTTTTTTTCTGTTCCTATCTTTTGTCTGTTTGTTTTTGTTGCATTTTACGTTGGAATGGTTTTTCCACAAAACTGTGTGCCCTGGCACGTTATACAAGCAGCTACTCACCTTGCACATTCGTGTTTTCCTGTACTTTACACGCCGCCACCACAACGGCAGCCTTGTTTCATCAAGTCCCATAGACTTGTACCTTAGATCGCACACTGTCATGGCTGCCCGCTGCTCTTCACTCTCTAATTTTTAAAAATTGACAAGAATTTTTTTTAAAGAATTAATTTGCTGCGAAGCTTACCTGCCATGGCCGGCATCATTATGCCTATCAAAGAAGGGCAGAACACAACCTTGATATAGTCGAGTGTGGGTGGCAGTTTTCACCCTTGCCCTTCATTTGGTCCAAATTGAGTCAAAATGGAGGTTGGTGGGTGCTCTTTCCTGTCAAACATCTATCAACGCTTCTCCTCCTTCTCTTTTGTGTATGCTACACTCTTGTAACACATAATATATTCTTCGGCACTTATATGACCTTATTGTGTTTGCAAGTGCTGTAAAACTCTTACGAAAATCAAAATGGTGGGATCAACAGTGAACCGAAAATACACCAAAGTGCATCATATTATAACGCAATTGTGTAAAAAACATTTTTGATTAAAAATAGTCAAAACAACAACAACAGCAACAACAACAATAACAACAACATCCCACCCACACCCCCTAAAAAAAACCCCAACAAACCAAACCAACAAACCCATACAGCTGATAAGAAGATCAACAATAACATAAGGAAAAAAAATCTCGCAGAAAGCTCCCACCAGCACCCGTCCCTGAGTTTGTCGCTGTGTCCTCAGCCCAAGGCAGGTCTGGGCAAGAAGGCCCAGGGGAAGAAGAAGGACGAGAAGGCGGCGGAGGTCCTGCCTGACCTCACCGTGGAGATAGAGGCCTTCCCGTGCAAGCGGGCCGGGTCAAGGGTCAACGGCAAGGACGTCGTCAAGTGGAAGATCTACCTCAACACGCCAGACGTGTGGTATGACAGTCATGTGGCACTCAGGGAAAGGGATGGTGAGTGGGATAGTGAGGGATGGTGAGGGATGGTGAGGGATGGTGAGGGATGGTGGGGGATGGTGAGGGATGGTGGGGGGATGGGATGGTGAGAGATTGTGGGGGATAGTGAGGGATGGTGAGGGATAGTGAGGGATGGTGAGGGATGGTGGGTGGACTGGGGCAGGGATGGTGAGGGATGGTGGGCGATGGTGAGGGATGGTGAGGGATGGTGAGGGATGGTGATGGATTGTGAGGGAACATGGTTGTTTCCACGTCTGTTATCCGTCTCTACGTTCTTTAAAACAGTAACTCCGGATTGTATCCCTCGTGTTATCTGTCTCTGTCATATCTCTCTCTCTCTCTCTCTCTCTCTCTCTCT